TAAAAACAAATAAAATCAACATAAATTGAAAAATCTTCTTAAATAATCGAGATCTCAATTTCAGTCACAATAATTGTGATTATTGTTTTTGCCATAATCGAGCAGCCCTAGTTTGACTGGAAATATTCAAGGGCAAAGCAATCACGCATACATCGGACATAACTCGAGAGCACAGCAGCACTGTAGGTTACCAAAGCAGTGCTCCCCCTACATAGGGCTAGCTGTGGTGTTGAACCCCAGCTGAATGTAAAACATCATGCCTACAAAATGCAGAGAATGAAACTTGTGGCCAAATTATGGATATGCATTGCATCACGTTTTTACCCCTCAAAAGATGATGAAATCTTCAATCCTCTCCTTGAAGATGGTTGGCAAGAGGAGAAGTCCCCCTTTAAAGACAACTCCTAGGTCATACAGATACAAATGTACATAATTAAATTTTGACAGATATTAATAATGTGCAAATTCCCACAAACATCCTTGTGCATTCTGCACAATGGTACATCCATTCTCTTTGGCAAAGATCACACATGAATTACATAATTGTTGCACTATTTGCATGTGTTCAAATTAGCACCTGTAAGGTGCTCAGCCAGTGCATTCTCTCTTGCCTCCATGTAGACCTTCTTCAGTGGCAAACCCTTAGTCATTTTAAGAAGATTCTGAAGAACCGCGGTGATGTCGCTAAAGCGGTGACAGTGTTGTCCTGAGACGGATGTATAGCATCAACCTCGTCACACAACTGGAAATAAATAAAAGCAAAATAGGCAAAAGTATTTAAATAATCCCGCAAAACAGCTGGGTCAGGAGAATGACTGGGCTGGTTAAAAATATTTTTTCCCCACATTTCTAACTCTAGCAAATATGTCAACAGACAAAATAAAAATTTTGGTGGAAAATCCCTTTAAGTGCTTTAACCCTTGGAAAAAATAGTCTCAAGATTTTGAAAATATTAAGTAATCAATGAATCCAGAATACAGATTTCCTGACAATAAAAATCATTAGCTGTGTTCCCAATCATCTTAATTATTACCCCTGAAGATGTCCCCAGGAATGGATATCTCTTTAAGAGGTCCACAGTAGACATTCGTTCTATTTCTCGACATCTCCATGCAAAGGTTTTCACCACTGTTGTGTCTGGATTTAGCTTTCTGTTTTGATCCAGGAGAACCATGACATGAGCTTCAATGGAGGCTGCATCTTCCCCCACAAAGCACGATTCCTTTGTCAAAGCAGATATCAGTGTTACCAATCATGTGTAAAATCTGATAAGTTAAAGTAACTTGAAGTAATGTGCACACTGAATGCTTTAAAAACATGCAGAATGGGAATTGCAAGCTGAGCTGATTTTTGTCAATTCAAATGGGAAATTGCTGTTATTATAATTAATTAATATTACTGTTATTTCAAGGCAATAGGTTTGCACGTTTCTTTTAACTAATGTGTACTTTTAGCTTTTACAGTGAACAGAATAAGACATTGGCTATTTTTCCCTAGCTCTTAAGCCTAGTTTAAGCTTCTGCATAGGGTTGGGCATAATTTGATTTTGATTCAATTCAATTCAAGTTTATTTATATAGTGCCAAATCACGACAAGAGTCGTATCGAGGCACTTCACATAATAAACATTCCAATTCAGGTCAGTTCATTAAGCCAATCAGAAATAATGTTTCCTATATAAGGAACAGTGTGAATGATTTGAATGTGTAAACTGTTTGAACGATTCCGATTCCAATTCCGATTCCTTTTTTCGATTCCGGTTCCTATGGATTCCTGATTCCGATTCTTTCAAGACATGACATGTTTTACATGAGCCAGCTAACCACAGGTCGTACTTGATGAAATAATCTTAACTTCAACATGAATTTTAATTCTATGAACAATAACATCACCTTCATTTACACAAAAACATGTTTTGGAGAAAAAAAGAAAAAGACTTGCAGCACAACCAGTGTGTTTGTTTCTGACCACAACCGAAGTCTGAAAGAAGCCTCTGGGATGAGAGGCTAAATGTCTCCAACATATCCAGAAACGTCCAGCTGTTTTCAGCTGAAACTCGCAGGATGATCATGTCCAGGATGACTGAGAACTACACCTCCATGCTGCAGCAGCCATGTTTAAACACGTGTTTGTATACATATCTATGGGAGGAACGCTAACCAACCCCGTGCACCCTCACGGACACCGCAGGAAGACGTTGCTCTTGATACCCCCCTCCCGCTCTCTTGGCTTCACTTTGTTCAAAGGAGCCAGTCTTTTGAACGGCTCTTTGAGGTAAACGACCGACTAATGAACGGCTCCCATGAAAGAGCCATAAATCCCATCACTAACCACGACCTAAGCTGCCTGATGCGTTGTGGCTAAAAGTGGCATTGTTTTCTGAAAGAGTCTTGGAGAAAATGAAAAGTCGATCCTTGATAAATACGCATCCGGCTGACATGATGGGTGGTTGAAGATACTTTTTCCCTGCGCTGCGCTAACAGCTGTCATGTTCGACATTCCGCCAAGAAGTTGAAATGGTACAAATGTGTACCTTCTATTGTTAAAATTCCTTCAAGCGGGAAACAACATCCATGGCTGATGCAACAAAAGTTTACATACAAATCATATAATTAATAGCTAGATTTACATGCTAGAATGCAATGAGACATTATTGGTTTTAAAAATGTTTGTGTACTCAATAAAGCACGAATATGGCAGTCAGAGAGACATTGCACTAATAGTATGGTACTAATTAGCACCCTTCCTTTGTTTAAAACTGCTACCAGCTAGCTAATCACTCATGCTAAAGAAAGCTATTCGGACATTTGCTAACTTTAGTGTCAAAATACACGTCGTCATTTAAAAAAAATAATAATAATCACACCTCACTTACCTCTAAACTTTTGAGCCTCTTCCTCTGACACATCAATGCAGCCTTCATCCATCAACATTTGAAGGAGCTCCTCAGTCGATAGACCCCTGAGAGTCATTTTCTGTGTCGACGTGGATGCGGAGCGCTCTAGTCTGTAGTGATGTGTCGGTCGCGAACGAACCGACTCTAAGAGCCGGCTCTTTGAAAAGAACGATGGGAACCGGCTCGTCATTGGGAGCCGTCCCCTCCCCTCCCCCCCTCCCCTCTTGCTTTGGTGAAAGCTACAGGCGATCGGTCAACATGTGTAACTGTGTGTCCAGACTGTCCACACACAGCAGTAGGGGTGGGGAAGAGGGAGGATCAGACTCAGACACACAGCAGAGCACATGTGGGTGGAGCAAGACGAAAGGGAATGAGGAGGAGGAAAAAGGCGAGTGAGAGAGAGGAGAGTGCGATGAAGACGGGTGAGAAAATGAGCGCCAGCAGTCGGAAAGTGGAGATTTCTTAAAGCATTTAGTTATTAAATCCATATAAATGATAAATATTCGATATATTGCATTTTTTACATTAGTAGATTATTTTACATATAGTTTTGCATGATCTTGGTTATAAATGTACTCTACGCAACAGAACATCTGAGGAGCCACTTGGGAGCCGAAAGAGCCGGCACTTTTTGGTGAGCTGAGCCAAAAGAACTGGCTCTCTCAAAAGAGCCGGAGTTCCCATCACTACCAGTCTGTGAGCACAGCAGCCGTTGTGTATTTAGCGTGTGGTATTAATGCGCTTTGCGAACATGTTATATGGAAATCAAAATATGTGGTATCAATGCGCGCTTGCTTAGAAATCGTTTTACTGTCTTGGGGAACTATATGACTTGGTAATTTACAAGTTATAATTACCATAAAATAGAAAGCTACTTGACATTGTGACTTTAGAAGAACTCAGTTTAACTTAAAGAGCAAGTCACCCCCAAGTACATTAATAAAAGGACCCTTGTTGTAAAGTGTTACCAACCTCAAAATTAATTAACAATTGCAGGATGTTGTAAAAGCGAAAAACGAAATGGCCTGACACAACAGTAAATTTGTATCACATTTTTGAAAGCTAAAACCAATATTTAAAGCATATTAAAAATGTAAGGACGAAACGTATTAGAATGGAAATTTACCAGCCTAAGCCAGGCTTGCAGGTGCGGTGCAGGTTGAAATGGTACATATTTTAACTTTATATCCAGTTGGACCCTTAAAGGAGCAAGTATGGCCTTCTAAAGACCAATATTGTGCTTTTGAGGGAACATTTAAAAAAAATTACCTACAGGTACAAAAACTGTTCTTCTCCCATACCTCTATTTCTGAGAGTGCATTGTCATATCTGGTGTTAGCACTTGTAGGTGTTTTACAGTAGGGAACACTTACTACACGTATTACATACATCTCCAGTATTAGAGGAGTGAGGCCCTCTTGGTGTTATTGTTCTGAACGACTTATTAAAAGGAAGTAAAACACCACAATGGACTCATTACTCACTTAACACATACCTTTCCCTATAATATCGAGTTATTGGTAACTGAGAAAACTCGAGATATTTTTAGAACCGACTTGTTTTCTTCTAATTCACCATTAGCATTGTTAGCTGACTGTTAGCCTCTACCATCTTTACCTGATATAAGAATAAAGAAAAATACGCCTTGGCTAAATAACTTCTGGGTCGCTCCTGTTTACTGGCTTCAGTTTTTTAAACAACTCTGGAGCTTTTTGCCCGTCTGCGTCAAATTACATATGACAGCGCAGCCGAGTTAGATCGGCACAATCTCTGCAACCTCACGGACTCACAGGTTGTAAACAGTAGCTCTGTCCCTCTTTGGCCTTTTTAAAAGGAGAAAAACTGACAACACCCCCAGAGGGCTGAGAAAGAAATCTGTTTCAATGGAACCTTTTTTCCAGCATGACTAAGACATTACTGCTTTAGGATTATTTCATTGTCAAATTCTTACATATTGCCCCTTTAACGATTGACCATCCAAAATAGGATTTTTTATCTTTTTTTTAAAATAAAACCCCATTCTCTTCTTCGTTTGGATCTCTCAGATAAATAAAGCTTGCTTTGATGACCCTGATGGAAGCTGGGTGGTGAGCAGGGTTACTTACCTTGACCTTGTGCTGTTTGAGGGAGCAAGGTGATGAGAACAAAGGCCAGCAAGGAAACACTCAGTCTGACCGAGAGCTGCATCCTGATACCAGCACACCAGAGGACAGGAAAGACCTGAGAGTGAGACGAGAGAGGTCACAGAGAACTGTCATTTTTTTTTATCTGAATATTCTTATCATTTTGTTAAAATAAGTATTACTTAAACCTAGTTTCGGGGATCAGGTGCAGCCAGTTTTATAAAAATTACCTAAATATTATACTAAAAAGTATTAAAACTTTTCAAAAAGTGAAATCTTCACTGATTCTTGATTAATGCATAAAAAATAAAGTTTTATTTCATTCAGGAAAAAATAAGTTAAAAATATGTTCTTTTTAAATGTTTCAGCTAAAAAGTTCAAATGAACATGAAAAGTGTTCTGGTGAAAATATTTAATTAAAATGAAGACCCAGAACAGTTTCCAGGGTGCTGTCAGTTTCAGTCATATAATGAAATCACTTGCAAATTCCAGATTAAAGCACTGGTGACTTTGCAAGGTTGAGTGTACCTAAAATACATTTTCTTTCGTTTCCTTCTGTTCTAAGAAATTTTTTATCCAAACTTTGGAGTTTGATGAGTTGGCATTTCATGAGCTACATGCAAGTCTCTCCAGCTGCATCATCCATGAAAGACAGTGTAGTGCAGTAGTTGTCCCCACCATTTAGTGTATTTTAAAATGAGTTAAACCTTAAAATAACCTAAATGCATTGTGTGCAGAGTTTTTTTATTTTTATTTTTATGCGCAAGTCATTTCTAACAATTAGCTGGATTTTGGCCATTTCGACGGTTTTCATTTATAAAAGGTTAAGTTGTGATACAAAGACATATTACATCCACGCCTCAGTGGAATTACGCATCTACCTATGAACTGTTTTACCATGCAAACACTGAATACGCACGCAGCCATAAAAACATTGCAGCGCTGAGCCCACCATGAGCATGTTTTACTGTTCAGTTAATAAAACAGCTGAAGTTCCCCTTAATTGACATGAGCACAGGTGAGGTCTGCACGTCTCGCCTCCAGCAGCACAACGAGCAGCGTTGTGAGGTGGAGAAAGGAGCTTCACGGATTTCTGACCCGGTTCTGGTTCTGTGCAGAGAGAAGAAAGAGCAGCTTTACCTTCTCAGATCATGTGTTTCCAGGTTCTGCAGCTTTCCTCCGGACAGCTCAATGACAGCTTCCTTTAGTCCACACCGACTCTGATCAGGTCTGTTCAACAACTCTCTGATGCAGACCTGGAGACAAGTTAGAACTAATCATGCGATAAACTTCCTGTTAGAATTTCAAAATAAAATACACAATAATTCTCGTTTGATTCCGATGCTTTGTAAAACTTCAGTCATTGAGTAGAAACAAAAAAAATACGTAAATTTTACTTCAACTAGTATTTGATAAATGATGCAGTAAGTATGCATTACTTAGTCCCAGAATACTCAGCAGCAACACTGACAAAAATAAATGAATAAATAAATAAAAATAAACATTTTATCTTACTGTCCTAAAACTTAGTTTGACACTAATCTGTTTTTTTCTAATTAGGCTACCTGTAAAAATCATAAACATATTGAGCAACACCCAGTACCTTTACTGTGAGAAACCTTTTTTTTTTTTTTTTTTTGAGCTGGTATTGTTGGTTAGGGAGATGGAACAATAGTGATTTAAGTAAACCCCAAAGGTGTTTAGTCAATTATTTAGCCTATTTTTAATAACTAGTTTGGTTTTTATGGAAACACTGCTTTGATTAGGGACCCATAAATTAAATATTTTCTATATTTTAGATAAATTTCTAATTGATAATAGTAATTATTATTATTATTATTATTATTATTATTATTATTATTATTATTATTATTATTATTATTATTAACTATTCCAAAAACAATAACAGATTTAGTCCATTTTAGCTTTACTCAAGAAGCATTTTCCAACCTTTATTTTGAAGGGAGACTTTGCTCTATTTCCTACCTTAGAGTGAACTTAACCTCAATGATAAGTCTTTTTCTCAGTTGAGACTTGCAACGGGCTGATGGGTGTTCCCGCCTCATTCACTGTCTCCCCCTGCAGCTATTCATTCCTTTAACTCTGTTTAATGCAAGGCGCGGCTGCAGAAAAATGCGTTTGAGTGTCATGAAAGAAGGTGTATAATGTGTATCCACTTGACTCCTGGTTACATGTGCTGGAGCTCCAGTTAATAGAGCACTCTCAGTTCTGGGCAGGTGCTGTTGTAAATCTAGAAGCTTGAATTATGGAAGAAGAAATGGGGCACAATGAATGCTGTCAAAATAACTGTTCAGATTTACTTATGAAAGGGATTTTTAAGGTCACAGGAAACTAGAACTGCATCAACAGTGAAGGGAAGCTGCCAAATCAAAACCAAAAATGTGTTTTTGACAGGGAAAACATAAGGTTTTCACATGTGCAAAATGTGTTACGTCTAATGAATGGAATTTTTGAACAGAAAACTTCACATTTTAAAAGGAAATGTTTTCACTTAAGTATATGTTTTTTTAAACAGGACATGTGAATTTCATTTTGCACATAGAAAATGTAGTTTCCAAATGAAAAACATGAAATTCTCATATTGCACAATTTCACATGTGCGAAATATATGCAATTAAATTTTTTTCTAAACAGCATATTTAGAACAACAGAACAAAGCAGGTCTTTTGAACAACCAAACTGGTTTCAAACTAAATTCCAACATTAATAAGTGAACAAGTGAAAATTGTATAGTTTCACATGTGCACTGAAATGACAAGGGATATGACACATGTTAAGTAGGTGTTTTTCTCTTGGAAAATACCTTTTCGTTACAAAGTCAATGTCACATATAAAAAATAGGTTTTCACACAAGCAATAGTCACATATTCAATGTGGCTTACACAACAGAAATGTCAGGGACCAAAAAAACTAGACTTCAATTGGTAAAATTGTCTGCTGTTAAATGTGCAAAATGCTGTAAATGACATGCCATTTATTAAAAAAAAACATGTGAACCAGGTCTTTTACAAAAGAAAATATTTAGATTAGAATTAGGCCCTGTCCACGCGTAGACGGGGATCTGCCAAAACATAGACATTTTTCTACGTTTGGCCTGTCATCCACACAAAAACGGAGTTTTTTCACACGAAAACGGATCTTTTTAAAAACTGAGGCCAGAATGAAGATCTGCGTTTTCTCCGTTTTGGGTGTCTGCGTGTGGACAGACAAAACCGGAGTTTTAAGGTCCGCAACGTCACTTTCCGCGACAAAAAAATGCTGACATCACGTGTGCGACCTGTGTTTACACTAGCCGACATCATGGGTGCCCTCAGAGCTGCGCTCTGTCACTACCCGATCCATCAATTGTCCAAGCGCTTTTTGCTTGTTTGTGTTTGCAAGCGGAATTACTGCTCCTTGCGGAAGACCACAGACGAAGGACGAGGTTAAGAACGGGGGAAGTACTGCCGCCTACAGGTCTGGCATGTCCTTAACAACGTATTTATCCGGGTACGTGTGGACAGTTTTTTTTTAAACGAGGTGGTGTGGATGCAAGTTTGTGGAGGGGCGGATATTCGTTTAAAAAAACGGCTACGTGTGGACTAGGCCTTGGAGACAACAATGTTGCAACAAAAATGACATTTAACTTGTACATATGAAAATTACGGATGATACATGACATGTATGAAATCGCTGCTTTGCACGAGGGAGACAGTTGTGTAAGGCCTGCTTAACGCAGCAGAATTTTTCAATTGTCAAATGATTTTCAAAACATGAGAGACCACACATGCAGCATTAAAAACTCATGGATAAACCTGGTTTGGTCCTACGGTGTTTGGTGTACAGCAACGCGGGGGGGGGGGGGGGGGGGGGGGACACTGCACATGAACATGGAAGTCTTACAAGAACAAACGTGATTTCACGGTAAACAAACATGGTTCAGCACACTTCCTCACCTTCTGGTTGGCTACATGTCACATTCAGCAGGCAGCACACTTGTTTGTCCTCCAAAATCAGACCAAGACTATTGAACAAATTTTAAAGACTGTAAATATGATCCAAGCAGCGCAGACGTGCTTTGGGCAGAGCAGAGCGCTCATAACACACCACACATGGTAGGAATGCCTAATAAGATTGTCTTTAGAGCCACTTGGGCTTAAGGAGCAGATTTGGTGAAAAATCAGCACGATTGTATTACTGCATGAACCAGGTTAACCAAAATAACCTGAACACGTGAAAATCACATTTTTTAAAATAGCAATAACTATTATGACAGGATTATTTTTGTAGGAAGTGTGTTTTTAACAAAATAACGTCACACGATCTTCACATGTAGAAACTAATGAGTTTATATTATTCAAAAGTGGGAAATGTGGTTTTAGAAATATTTTATATATTTTTATTTCTAACCACATTTTGAAATATAAATCAAATTAATGCAGCTTTTCTTTCAAGCATTTTATACATAAAAGTAACCAAATTTCCACTTTTTACAGTCCCTGGAAAAGCTATTAGAATGACTCCTCTGGTTTATTTTTCATTTGTTCTCATAAAACCATCTGATGACATTACCTGATGGTTTTGGGATCATTTCCAAATGTTTTATTTGTTTGATCATCCATTACTCCCTCACAACCTTTTATTTTATTGTTTTGGTTTTGCGATGGTCTCAATTTGGCATTAAATCTTTTAGTTCTCACATCTTGACTTCTATTTTTCTATATTATCTAAATAATTTTGAGGTATATTTTACAAACCCTGAATTTTTTGGGTTAAATCAAAAGCTAGAAGAAGATCCAACAGGACTCAGGACTACTGATTCCATATTTATTTCACCAGGAGTTGCAATATTCTATACATTACTTCAGATATTTTACCACCTTATTTTGTTTGTTTTTGTTACCGCGGTCGACTAACGACCACACAGAACAGCATCTCTTGATGTGCAGGTGTCTTTATCTTGAAGATACTGCAGAGCCTTGAAAGAATAATGGGCCTCTGTCTGCTGAAGGTGAGGGTTAAGCCTCTCTTGTTATGGGTTTGTTTGCACTTCATGTGGCTTTAAACAGGCAAAACCGAGGTCTCGCAAGTCTCAGGCATTATCATAATCATAAATATTTAACAGTGAAATGTTGAGTTTTGAAAGTCCCTAAACTGCAACTTGAATAAACGAAGTCTTCCCGAGTGTCCTTTGACATTATTTTGTGTCCAAAGTTAGATTTTATAGTGTAACCCACCTCATGTATCAAAAATATCAGCATAAATAAAGCCTCAGTCCACCTTAATAACTGGTGTAATAAAAACAAGTCACACATAAAATGTAAAACTGGTTCTTCTGCGTCTGAAATCAGAAATGACTGTTCTTGAATGGAGAAAGCAAAAACACTCCAGGAAACACTAATCAATTCATCATGCCAACACTTCTGCCTGGAAGCAGATTTCTGTTGAGCAAGCAAAGCCTGCAGGCGTGGGGATTTTTTAAATGTAGGCCAGCAGAAAGATTCAGCGTTTTTTAATGTTATTTTAAGTAATTTCGATTGCTGTTTTGCTCCACAAAACTAGTCTTTTCCATATATCATTGATGTCCACCGGCTCAAAATAACTCTTTTAAACATGCCTTTCTTATCAGTTTGAATATGCTTTGACTACTCAGGTGCATGAAGTAATAAAATGCAGACAACATTCAGGTTTGAATGTTTTATAAGGTGTCTTTAAAGAAATATTGATGCTTTTGCTCAATTAAAGGTGCATTAGGTAAGATTGACATCCTGTTGTCAGATTCAGGTACTGCAGTCCATCTATCACATCAAACGAGTCCACTCTAAGCTTGTTGACAGTTACAATATTTATTTCTGAGTTGTTGGTAATTTAAATAGTAGCCTGAGATTTTTTAGTCAACTTTTGTTTTTTACTACACTTTTAGTATTGTTAGCTCAAGATTTGCCTCTAGTCCTCTTTACCCGATATTAGAGTCAAACAAAATTTGTTTTACTTTATTTTGCTTCTGGGTTTCTCATTCTACTGGCCCCCAAAGTGCCTTGAAACAGCACTGGGTGTGGGACTGAGTTTTGAATGTGATATAAATATTACATCTTAGGTGTGTTCTTGCTGTGTCTTTCTAAATCCATGCTTTTGTTCTTTTTTAAACACAGAAACAGTTTTGTTTACCTGTTTGTAGCTACAGTTTCACCGACGGCTGCCGGCTTCTTCAGGCTGACGCTGATGGTGGCGCGTCACTTCCTTCTCCGTTTATCTGCGGGCAGCAGAGGACGT